TCCTTTTCTCCCGAAAGACATTCCAGTCCACCTTTCAACAAAGACGCCACCAGTCTGGTGCATGATTCCGATCCATCCGTGTCATGTTGAGATGACGATTTCCCGTGTCTCGCAAAGGCTGTCTATCTAAACGGGCTAGTACCTTGGCCCCAGAATGGCCATGGCCCCACGGAAAGGAACGCGACGAGCGTGTGACCCTTGTTCTGTCAGTGAGTGTTAGGTGCAGGTCAACGCTCGTGACACGACTGACATTATGCTCCCTTCGTCTAGGGAAAGTGCGATGTGATGGCAACCAGCCATGTTCAAGATGCGAAGCCGCTAGCTGGGACTGCACCTACTTGAAAACGCATGGGAAGAGCGGACCAAAAGGACCACGTCGGACCACGGAGGCCGCAATCAGGAGACTGCAGGAGCGGAGCAAGGGGACCCATGATGAGGGGTCAAGGAGCAACAGCGAGACAAGCTTTGATGCTGGAAGCCCAGTGTCTACCGAGCTAACTTACCTGGACCCCATCTCTTTGATGAGCGATGCCGATGGTGAACCCAAAGCCTGGCCGGATATTCTGAGTCCAACCCTCTCTGCCACCCCTCACGAGCCTCAGAGGATATCGATTGCCTGCCTATCGCAATATCTGGACGTCTATTCAGCGCGCGGATATGGGATATGGCCGGTGGTCGATGCAGAGGCTCTTACTGCACGTCTTTTGACTCATCCAGATGATTTGGAAGCTTATGCACTAGCCAATGCGATTAGTGCTGCTATAGTAAGCCAGTTCTCTATGGACGAATCGGGGAGTCCAATGGAGGGTCACTACCGCGTCCCGAGTGGCACATTTGAGATGGAAGCAAAAAAGGCAAGGAACGAATGCGATCATCTGGAGAACGTCACTGTGTTCTCCTTGCTGAGCAGCTTCTTCCTACATGTCTACTCGGCAAACGTTGGGAGGATGAATGCTTCCACAGTGTTGCTTGGAGAGGCCATCTTCAAAGCGCACATCATAGGACTACACAAGGCGAACCACTACGAACACATGACCGCGGAGCAAACGCAATATGCGTTGAGAGTATACTGGCTCCTCTTCATCACAGAGCGAGCTCATTCTCTGCAACACGACGTGCCGACAACACTAAAGCGCGCCCCTAATCTCCCTCGACTGGAGGACCTGCACGATGGATCGGTTACACCTGCATTTGTTCAGCTTTGCCGGCTGTTCAATATTTTGGATGTCACTATAACGGCCGAACCAGCAGCTGCGCGCCATGCCCTGTCATTAGCTCAGCAACAGCTTAGCAGTGATGAGGATCCCCGCAGCCTCGAAAACGAGCTCCAGCGCGCAGACATAACAATGACGCAACAATGGATGCGCATCTTCTTGTGGCAGCATGCACTCAATGTAACGAACCTGAGCAGTCGCGCCAGCCAGGATGAGGAGTTCTCATTCCGCTTTCCCGCCAAAGTCGCTCAAAACGTCCTCAGCAATCTGAGTAGCCTCTCCCGCCAGAGCATTGAGGCGCATGGGCCCGGCATGGTATAGAGTATCTCGCTAGAAAAGTAGAATGTCGCTAACGTATATACAGGAGTCGAAACTTTTCGATGTTGCCAACTCGCTTGCAGACGTCATGATGATTATGCCGTCTCTCAACCACGAATCTCACTTCGACGTTGGACCTAGAGATCTAATCCACTCGCTAGCGCAAGTTCTGGCCTCCTTTCGTGGTGGCAACCCTGCTGTCATTAGCATACTGCAAGAGAAGCTCACTATGCTTGGACTCTCCGCTGGGTCGCCGCAAAAGTTGCTTGAGCTTTCCTCGCCGGAAGAGGAGCACGACGAGTGGCACGACCGCTCCATGTCTGCCCCCTCTTCCTACCCGTCCTTGAGTCCGGACGTTTCGATGTCGCCCTCACTCCAGTCGAGCATGAGCATGGACGGGACGTATTGATCTTCCCGGATTACCGCAAAATAGCTTTGGCAGTATCATGCACAAACGGACAGAATATCCGATTGCACAATGCGTCCGCTCATGGCTATGCAACCAGTCGTGCCCTATCGATTCGGTTACTTAGCGTCCGCCAGACAGGCGCTTGCTCACAAGCGCCTGACCCTCTCAACAAGATGCAGGCTAGCCATGGCATACCGCTCATTATCGAAGAGACCAACATGATTGATGCACCAGGATTTGGCCAACGCCTGGTAAAACGCCCCTCTATTGCTGCAGGAAATCTGCAAAGGTCCAGCAAAATCACTCATCAGTCTCTGCTAAATGAGTGCCTACAAGCCCTGGATCGAGTCGCGCACCATGAAGACAAGAACGACGTCCTGTTGAAACAGCATGGGTATCGCAGTAATGCCACCTCCGAAAGCCGAGTCGCGCATACATATGGAAGGAAAGCACGGCAGATGATGAGCTTGAAAAGGCGTCAAAGCAGAAAGTCAACGCTGAAGTGACGCAAACACGCGCTCGGATCAGAGTCTAAGATGGGCCAGCGGCAGCGCATGTAAATACGATAACGTTATCAAGCCCCGTGACTCCTTGATAGGGTGTTGCTTGGGTCATTCCTGCTCTCTATCTAACTATGAGGACAGCAAGCGTTAGCATTAGCATCACCGCGTAAGCATGTCTCCAACCAGTATAGTACGCAAGCATTGCTCTGAAGCGGGGAAAGTATCTCGACACTCGATTCGGAAATGACACGAAGCCAAAACCGCAGCCTGCTGGTTCTACTATGCAGCCGATCTTCGAATTATGTACATTAGGTTCGCCATGAGCAATCATCACCAGCTCCCTCCCTCATTTCATAGAGATGGGAAGGCCTGGATGACCTGGAGCAGCTGGGCTTTCATTCATTTGCCCGAGACCATAGTCGATCGCCGCGGCGATATCCTGGTTGTTCTTCTCCAGAAACATGAAGTGCCCATTGCCCTTGATACCAATGTCGGCAAGCTTGATCCACTGGTAGTTGGTGAGGCCCATCTGCTTGAAGTACTCGATAAAGCAGTGGTCGTACGTGATGTGCGGACTGGCCTCGCCCGTGATCATGATGTAAGGCACTTTGCCGAGCTGGGTGAGCTTGTGGATGGTGCCAGTCTGAAGAATGCAGGAGCGCTTGGCAGGGTCGTCTGGGCCGACCTCAATGGTAGTAATGGTCGAGCAGTTCGTCACTGGCGGATCGAATTGCAGTGGTGTGTATGTGAGGCCACAAGGCCGCGCCGCAGTACGACCGACGCCAGCAACAGTCGCATTCCCGATCAGAGAAGTATGTGGGATGTTGCCAGGCTCGATGTTGATGTTGGCACGCAGCAGATCAGGGCATGCGTCCGACCAGATAGCTGTGTACGTACAGCCAGCTGAGTGGCAGATGGTGTATGACTGGCCGATCATGCTGAGAAGCTGACATCCAGATGTGCGCATAGTGTTTTCCACGTTCGCGTTCGATGAAGAGATGGGAACGTTGGCGGCAGTGAAGGCATCAAAAGCCGGATCTCCACGAGATCCGTTGCCGGGCCATTGTGTATGCGCCTTTGCTTGTGGGTACTGGTTGAAGGTTTCCGGGGCTGTGAAGCCCTGCTCATTGATCGTGTCTGTAGATCCAAGGCGTAAAGGGTACTTGGAGAGAAGCTGCTGGCCACTTCGGCCGTTGGCAGCGATGTCAACAATGTAGACCTGGTAACCTTGATCAAGATAGTAGGAAGCCCATCCCTTGCGGTTGTCTGGCGTATTCAGCCATTCTGCGCCTGTGTTGACACCCGCGGAGACGAAGACCATCGGGTAAGGCTTGTTGACCTTGCTGGTGGGTGTCAGCTTCTCGACATATAGCTGGTCGCTCCACGTCTGCTGGCCCGGAATGCCGGAGTCGACGTAGCCGCCACCGATGTAGAAAAAGTCTCGCTGGTATGCAGATTCTTGACTGCTGCATTTTGGGCTGATGCTATTGACACCAGTGCAGTCTGTTGGTGGGTCATCTTGGGCCGAAATCTGGAAGGGCAATGCGCCCAGTAGCAAGCCCGAGAGGATGTTACGTGAATGCATGGTTAGGTCAAAACCGTGATGAATGGAACGAATGGACCACGAGTAGTGATAAAGGAGTGAATACGAATGATTCTTGGAGGGGTTTGCGCAGTCATGTCGGCAGCATGCATCCGCTTTCAGTTTGGAGAACGCGCTTTCATGCCAACAGGTCGCGGCATTGGCTCCAGTCGCGCAGACGAGGTATAGAATTGGTCTCAATTTCGGTATGCAACTTCTTAGAGGTACCTTCCGTCCGCTTTTGCGGGCTTCGGGGGAAAAGCGGTCATTAGCTACTATAATTGGCTTAGCGGAGCGGATGCATCCCGCCTTCCCAATCACCCAGACCCTGGCGGCGGGGAATCTCGACATTCTCTCATTACCAGCGGTCTGCACTCTTCTGCAGTGTCTGAACAGCCCTACGAGCTCATTATGTCTCACAAAGGAAAGCAGCTGCACCAAGGCTCGGCGGCGTCCTTCAGCAGCTCATCGCAATGCGAAGCATGCACCACTTTGACACCATGACATCAATCACTCGGACACGGGTACATAGAAGCTTATATATTGAGAAAGCTATCGTGCGCTAACGATATGCCCGGGCTTTCGTAAGATCTAACGTTCATCAAGTTTCAGCCTTTGGCGTATACTCCAGTGTACTCAACCTTCATTCGCAATCTATGCCTAACCCAGATCCTTCGTGTTCCCACTTCACCCTGCAAACCTCTTCATCGAATAATACCTCTTTATGTACGCTAACCATCTCCAGAGAAGTCATTTCCTCATACTCTACGGCGAATCCCGCCTGCCTCATACGGCATTGCCGACCACACCTGTCCGGACGACCTCTGTGAGGCCGTATTCGACGTGGACAGAGATACACTTGCTCAGTTCGTGGAACAACGCACCACTCCTCAGTCTTACTTACGGGAAGGATCTCGGGATGCATCAAGCCGATGCTTACAAAATCGCGGACTTTCGGATTTGTTGTTTGAACTTTAAGAGCGGTGAGGTACTTCTAGCTGCATGTCAGTATCAGGCGTAGAGGATAATAGGATGCCCAGTACCTTTGCTTCAATCCACTTATACAGCTTGTTTATCTGAAAGTACCGCGCTTCAGCTTGCAAGCGATTATACAAGTCGTAGTCGAGGCCGTTCATCACGCTGTAAAATAGCGGGAATACCTCAGGACGACGCATGTAGCGGAGGAGGTGCTCGAAAAGGTCGGGGTCGGCATCTAGGAAGTACGAGCCGTCTGGTTCGGGCGTCCAAGAGTAGCAGTCGGAGAACTGGCGTTGGAAAAGGCCTGACTCTGCCTCCAGCGTGCTGCGCGCAACTCTGAACCTGCGGCCTCCAATGTCGAGCGTCATATTCTTTGGGTAGCCGTCAGCGATGTTAAATCCTTCATCGGTAAGATCGATCAGATTTGTAGGATTGGTAGCTAGAGTGGTCTCAACTTCGCCGTTCTGTCGGCTCTCGCTGTCTTCGGTGCCAATGGGCGCGCTCAAATCATCGGAACTTGGGGTAGCAGTCGCGTTGGTGGCGGAAGTAAGGTCCATTCTTGTACCTAGTCAAAGTCCTGTGCGATTTTATTGTCGTTTTCCACAAGCAGGGTTATATATTTCGACAGTTTGCTGATAGACTCATCGTCAAATGCACCGTTCTTTGTTCATACTAAGCCCAGATAAAGCTACGCCTGAAAGGTTGATCATAGGTAGGGAGCGTTTCCTGGGGTTACGGCAATTTTCCAATCATATCCAACGCCCGCTCCATCCGTGACTCCGGAACGTTTGCCGGTGACTTGTCTTCTACCTCAATAACTTTGTTGCAGAACCGTACTTCTCGGCGATAGCCTTCTGTGCGGCTAAGTACTCCTGTAGCTGCTTTTCCGCCTGGTGTCTCTTGCTCTTTTGCCAATCAATGTCCCGGTATAGCTCGCTATGAGCTCTGCTAATCGTTTTCAGATGACTTCTGAAGACGTTTGTTTCATTCCTAGCGTTGTCGGCCGCTTTTTTCATCTCCCTAGCTTGTTCCCCTTGCCTAGCATGCTCCTCCTTCCACTTCCGGTTCTCCTCTTTGAGCGTCACGAGCTCTTCAGCTTGTTTTGCGATCGTGTGGTTGAGCTGTGCTATGGGTAGCATATCGCGTTTCAGAGCCGCCAGTTCGTTGGTCAGTCGCGCCATCTCTGTTGCCTCTTCTCGATGACGTTGTCGCATCCTGTCTGTGGCAGCTGCAGGATCTTCGATCTTGCGCTTCTTGGACGAAGCTATGTATTCGTCAGCCAATCGCAGTGGGTGAATATGAGAAGCGCGCGCATGATGTCTGCTTCGATGCTTTTTGATCTCGATGCTTAGTCTAATGAAAAACTTACACAGGAACAGATCGCGGTGCGGCTGCAGGAGCGGTTGTCTTGACCGATCCATCTTGATTTTGCGATAAATATCCGTGGAATATTCTGAGAGGAGGTCGTGCGTATTCTTGTGGATTATAAAGTCAATTGTGCGAAAGGCTAGATAGACGAGGTGAAGGTGAGCACGTAATGCACGCACGCGAAATCTTTGACGCCGCTCGCCCATCGCTCCCGTGACAGTGACCAATATGCGTAAGTGTGGTACTGCTATACCATGGTAGCCGTCCATTAGGCTGCCAGAACTCAAACGCATTGAGTCGCTTATCAGTCCACCCGAAGCGATCCAGATGAGAACGGATTCGCCCACAAACAAGGAAGACTGGGCTTACCAAAGTGAGGTTGCGATCCAAGCTGTTCCGCCGTACTTCACATATATGTATGTTGGCGGAATTCACAAAAAGGCTCAAGTACTACATATGAAGATTGCTGTATTGGGTGGTGATCCGGCGACACTTACGGCTGTTACCTATGCCTTGCTCTGGCTCTGAACATATTGTTCCCGCCCCTGCTCGATGAGCTCTTCCAAACGACCCTCACTAAACCCTCCGCTATCCTGCGCACCTTCTTCAGCGCCACTGTACCTCCACCCATACTGCGTCTTGACCCACGCCACATCCCACGAACTCGGCCTAGACCACATAGGAATCATCTCATATCCGAGATCATGATTCGTACTGTCCCTGTAACGTGCTACTGGGCACTCCGCCTGGTTGCCATTTAGACAATTCTCATTACCCATGATGTAGCTGTGGTAATGCATGATACTATCCGCATCGTACGGTGAACCGTGGTTCAGTGTCCAGCCATCCTCGGATTTCCCGTACAGAACAGTGTCAGTGTAGGAGCGGCCGCTGAAGTTGTATCGATCAGCGATTGTGACGTCGTTGCACAGCTCGTCGGTCGTTGTGCTGGGGTCAGATTCACGCGCGCGTGCGAGAGCGGTGCGGTAGTCGGTGAGCTTTGTGCAGTCGTAATGGATGTATCTATCACGGTCTGAGCGTTGTTGCTCGTGCATCATTCCTTTTGTTTGTCAGTCTTGTAACATTCGAGATCGCGGGTTATGTCCAACGTACCCATGACATGCCCGAGTTCGTGTGCTACGGTTGTGACACTGGCCTCTACGTCTATTCACATGTTCAGATCCCAAGGCTTCCCCGGCGTATCACCCATACCCACAGTGGATGCGGCCGCGGCTTTGCCCACGCCATCGTCCTTCCAGATGGCGACTGTCTTGTATGGTACAGCCATATTCCATTTGCTCTCAGCTGGACTGTTGACATCTATGCAGTACCTTGGGTTCTGTGAGAAGTCAACATACTCCGAGAAGATGATCTTGTGGTTTGTACCCGGCGAGGGTCCGCCGCCGAGAGCTGTCATCCATAGTTTGATAGCTGCTTCTAATTTCTCACCATTTGCTTTGCGATGTTCTTCTGTCGGAAAGCAGTACGGTATCAACGCAATGCCTTTGATGTAGAGCTCCGTCCACTTCTTGGGGCCACCACCGCCTTCGTGGCCCCAGAGGGACGAAGAGCCAGATTGCATCCCATCATAACTTGGACCCTCAGTATGGTTAGACGGAGGTAGGATAGCGCATGGACCTGAGAAGATGGGCGATATTGAGGGAACAGACGCCGCTATCGCCTGAATGGCAGCGGCCGCAAAGACCGGGAAGTATCTCATAATGGTGGTACTAGAAACAGTTGGTAAGAGCAAAGGAATGGTGGAAATAGGATGTGTAAAGGAGTCTTTAACGTAAGTGCAGGCAGTTATGTACTCGTGATCACGAGGGGCGATCCGACTACAACGCGCATCGGTCATATTACGCATTCGAGTCACAATGCTCATTATGGTGAAAGAGCATCGCTACTAGAAAACACTCGCCGGACGCTCAAGCCTCGGGTGCAGGGCATTTGTGGCGCCCCAGACTTGCTCGGACTATTTGAGCAACTGTATCAAATAGCAGCACTGGCAACATCTCTGGCAGCCTTCTCTTCCCCTACCAGCTTCGCCCGTTGACGATCCAATTTCATTAGAAAGTTGGGATCTTCACCAATCACTTTACCTCGCTCAACGTATGGATTTCGATCAAAATCGTCATCTGAAGCTTCCTCATTCTCATATTGTATGCCCGCATTCTCGACTGAGTCGATATGGGGTCCTTGGTATGGGTAATTGGTGCGAACCCAGCGGACGTCGCCTGGACTCGGCTTTTCAGCATCATTGATGTACGCTATTCCTTGCGATCTATCCCCAGGCACCTTCCACCTCCTCAATGGGCATTCTTCCGGGTGACCTCCCTCGGCGCACTTTTCGTTGGCGTGCTGGAAGCTGCTATACGACATAATAGAGTCCACGTCGTACTCGGTATCAGCTTTCATCCACCAGTACTGGGCAGGGCTACCATAAGCCACGGACATGGTATAATGGACAGCGGGAAATTGAAACTTCTCGGAGTAGTCTGCGAACAGACAGAGCTGGTGATCCTTGAATTGCGGGAGAGCCTTGCGGGCCCGAGCGAGCGCATCCGAGTAGCCTTTCAACTTTTTGCAATCGAACTCAACGTGTTTGTCGCGGTCTGTGCGCTGGTGCTCGTGACCCATGCCTTGAGCTGTCAGTAATGATCATGATATTTGTTTGTTTGAGACATACCGAGCACATGACCGATCTCGTGCGCAACGACCTGGGCAGCCGTCTCTGGGCCGAGATACAAGCGGAGTTTCCAGGGTTTGCCTCTATCGGCCGCGCTGCCAGCCCCCGTAGTCGCTGTAGCTCCGTTGGTTGACTTCTTTGACAGACTGATCGCCAACGTTGTAGTCGGCAACGAGGGGTTCCACTGTTGTCTGTTTTCGGGTTTCGGATCATAGCACAAGTGATGCTTGAGCGCCTTGTAGTCATACCATTCGTTGAACTGGAGATCATGCCCGTTGTCTCTGCCACGCTCTCCGCCTAGAGCAGCTTTCCAGAGGGCTATAGCTGCTTCGACGCGCTCAAGTAGCCTGGCACGGTCCGTCTCAGAACAGAAGCAGTAAGGAACCAATGATCTACCTGGGGAAACGATGTCGGTCCATTTCTGTGGACCGCCCCAATTGATATAGTTAAACAGTGAAGCACCGCCATACTGGGTCATGTCCTGGCCGTCTGTGGCGTCTGCGGTATCCGTGGTATCCGTGGCATGCGCGGCCAGTTGAGCTTTGACTTGCTCATCAGTGATGGGCGGAATGATGCAAGACTGATCGGGAGACCATAGCACGCTCGACGGTGGGTCCAGCTTGGGGACTACCACAGCGAGCACGCCGCAGACCAGGAAGCTGACCATGGGAATACTGTAGAGCATGGCTGTGATAGTCGGGGTGCTGCTTTCAGTGAGTCGAAGTTCCAGAGGTATCAGATAAGAGAAGAGGATACCAGAGATTCGCAGCTTATGATGATGGAAGGTATGACCGGCTAGCTCGGCTTGGCACAACAACGGGGCTTGGGGTCGTCGTCGATGCAGTAACTATGGAAGTGAATGCTAGCCGATAGTCGCGTGGCAGAAACCAGAAGTCTTCGATCTTCGCATCACTGCTACACGACCGAATGCATTTTACCATTCGGAAGGTTCGTTGGCCACCAGTTTCGACAGATGCGGAGCGGATGGCGGCGGACTTTCGGGATCGTAGTGAAGGTGAGACCGCTGCCTTGCGTTCCAGAGCCAGATGTTGTAACCTTGCCGCCTGAATAAATCTGCATTCACCGAGACGCAGATAAGAAACAGCGCTAACTATATTGTGACCTGCCACTCAACAACAACAGCCCAAAACTTCCCCACAAACCAAAGCCGCAATCGTTGCGCCCACGACTCAGCCAAGATGGCGCACTCTCCTTCCAATTCAGGACTCAAGAACATGCGCGACTTCTTCACGCGCAGCGAAAAGGAAAAGATCCCTCCTGAGCTCAAACAAGCACTGTCGCTACTGCAACTACCCAACTTGGACAGTCTCGAGGAGCGCTTCCTCGCGACCGCTGCCTTTCTAGAGCCATGGACTGTATTCCGCGATTCGATATTCCTGCTTCAACCGGAGGCGGTACCACGTGCAACGGCGATAGCCAGAGAGGAGGGAGAGGAGGGTGTGTCTCGCACAGACCTGTTGTGGTTTTATACACGATTCGACGAAGGTGTACACCGTTATGACCCACGCGCCGACAAGTACAGCGCGGAGTACACATCAGACTCCAGCGTGCATGGAGTAATCGACAAGGGTGATTGGACTGTGGAGGCGTACGAGAAACACCTCTTCGCCTGGTTACTGCAGGTATTCAAGGTCGGCAAGTCGCGCAATCCGTGGAACATCGACTACTTCGAGCTCCGCAACATCTGCACAGCCTGGGAAGCAGTCTTTGTGCCGATCGTCAATGCTGTTCGCGCTTCCTACAGTGTCAAAGGCCGACGACACTACGGTCGCCTCGCGCTTTACATCGAAGAGCGGTGCCCATCTGGTCTCGCTTTTCCCAAAGACAACGTCTTGGTACCTGGAGGAAGCCTGATGTCGCCCACGCCGTACCGCATAATCTCCTTGCCGAAGAAGGTCGTCAGTGATGAAGGCGCAACATTCCACAAGCGTGTCGGCGGTGCTGGAGTGTTCACGCGAAAGCAGTACGACGAGACTGAGAAAGAGCTTCGCGATGTGTACCCTCAGTATGGCGGTTTGGTAGAACGGCCCAAGTTCAAACATAAGATGGAGGAGTGGTTGAATGAACAGCGAGCCCGAGCAGACCGCAGGAAGGCCGCAGAGACGACGGGCGAAATGAGGGCCTTCCAGCCCCAGGTGGTAAAGCGTGACGGTAGCCGGAGCCCAGGAAAGAGCAGCTCTCCCGACAAGGACTGCAGCAGACAAGATCAGGATGGCAGCGAGAGCCCAATTAGACGGTACTCAGATAGCATCCGCCGCTCGCTGTCTCGAGGCATGTCCAGAATGGCGTCAAAGGAGGAGCCGAAGAGTCCGCTGCATGGAGTAACACGACAGATCCATCTACCTGATGAAACAGCAGCTTATCGCCCTTCCGAGCCCTCGTTAACCAAGAGGCACGTGAGTCGCGCCTCAGTCGGATCGTCTGACACGACCATCATCACGCCATGGCCCCGTCCTGATACAGAGCGCAAGCCGTCTAATCCGAGTCTCTACACTCCAACCCACGACTCAGACCCTCTCGTCCTTCCCGATAGCCATCGGCACATACAAATGCGCGACACAGACGAATCGATATATTCGCCCATGGGCCAATTGAGTGCTATACCGCAGCCACTGCACCACAATTACCAGCCTGACATGCGGGTCGCACCAACGGTCGAGAAGGGAAGGGCACGCCCGGATGGACGGGTTCCAAGCTACGAGGGCAGTGGTTGGGACGACGAGATCTCGTTGACAAAGCTCAAAACTGTACGCGAGGACACTGCTAGGGATCCGCAACGCGTTCAGCCCTCAAAGCCGGTCACGAGGCTTCCTGTGCCTATTAAGCCAACTGCATATACCGGCGATCTGCGTATTGCGTCGAACGACATCCATCGCAAGGCGACACCAAACCCTCTTGCGTGGCCAGGTACTTCTCCGCCCAGGTCAGTACCATGGCCAGGAATGGAGCATACCGTTCCGTCCGTACCATCCAGAAGCCCCGAGCGATGGAATAGTATTAGGGGGCTTGCCAGCAATACTCGTCCTCAACGGTTACTGCGCGACGATTCAGACCGCAGCGTTACGCGCATCGTCTCGAAAGAAAATATTCGCTCCGTGCTTAAGGGTAACTCTCGTGATAGCTCAGCAGAAGATCTTACCATGCCGCCTCCCGTACCGATGCTCCCAGGGCAGAATAGAACGATGAGTCCTGCTGGCGCTAGATTGCAGACGTACAACACAAATCTGTTCCCGCGTCGAGAAGAGCGCAAAGGAACTCCTGTCGGTGGGTGGGTCGGTGCGGACAAGAGCAGAGGTGCATATGGCGGTCCTTTTGAGCTAGATATGCTTGATGGGGCGAATTCTGGCCAGGGTGTTCAGAGCAGGACTGCAGGAAGCGATACACGATACCATGAGGAATACCATGGCAGGCATGAGCCTGACGACCGTCGCAGTCTCGAGAAATGGATTTAGGGTGTTGCCGTCGAGACTCATTATGACAAAACGAATCGTCGTTTGGACCCAAATAGCTCTTTGCAACCTTGGATCACATATTGTAGCTGCCGACTTGGCGTTGGGGAATGAGGCATTTGGTTCCGAGATCCTGTGTCACGCATTTCGATTTGCGCGCCTTTTCGGCAGGTGCTGGACGATGACAGACTGTAGAGAGACTTCAGGGTGCAATAAAATTAAACGGTAGAAAATAAAGAAAACTCCGGATGAGATGAACAACCGTCGTGAGGACTAGATTGCGGTCTGTGAAGGGTGATGAGTGGAGGTTTGACGACGCGCAGCACACGCAGCCGCCGAACGAACGCGAGAATGTCACGCTAGCAAATCCAAACTCCGGCACGTGACTGCTCATGAGATCACGTCCTATTAGATGTAGTACATAGCAGAAATGCTTCATCGCCCGAGTATCCAGCATCTGCTCAGCAGGTTACTGGCTTGATTCGTACCCTGACCCATCCCATGGTACGAGACACCGCCCACGTATCCGACAAGTGGGAGCATTACAACACTAAGATTACCGCCTTGACTAACAAGGACGATTATCGAGCGCATATGCTTTATGTGACAAACGCGCAACTCAACAAGTATCCCGATCACAACGTGGAAGCTTCTACTAGTGACTGCCCAGGTGATGTTCTGTGTTGAGGGGAGCCGATGCCACAAGAGAAAGGTGGGGTCAGCCTG